TTCTTATTATATCTTATTTATTTATTTGTTTGTTTATTTATTTATTTGTTTGTTTGTTTATTTAAGACATTTAAATCCAATGACCCCTGAAAACAAAATTCAATTCCAAGAAAATGAAATGCCCCCAAAAAGTAACATTTAATGATTTAGTTGCAAGCGAATTTTAAGACTCATATATATATATAAAAAGGGCATAAAATGCAGGAACTAAAAATTTCAAGACGAAAACTCTGAAACTAAATTAAGATAGGAGGAAAATATATATTCATGCACATTGTAAAAAGGCTGCAGCCATCTTCACAGGTTTGGCTTGCTCCAGCGCCCCCTACCGCCCCCTTCTGGTCCCGCGCCCCCCCGCCGCCCCCCTGAAAAATGAAATCGCCCCCTGGGGGGCATTATCGCCCAGGTTAAGAACCACTGGACTAGAGAACAGAATCAAGGGAGTCTGTAAAGACAGCCCAGACAGTTTTGGGTTTGAGGTTATTTGCTGAAGAATAGTGCAGGAGACCTTACTGAAAATATTTTGCTTTCTTTGCTGGACATGTTTACTTTCACACTTGAAATGGTAGAATGATCATTCATTTTTTTTGCCCCTCTGGAAATAGGAAGATAGCATCCTATGTGATCTCTTTATTGGCTTCTATTGACTTTTATAGTGAACCTTCTATAGTAACCTAACTAACTATAGTAACCTTCTAGGCGAGAGGTTATAAATACACATCAAGATTTATTCATGCATTTCTCCTTCCTTCATGGTGTCTTTAGCCACAGGTCCCTCCCTTCTGTTTGCTGTCTGTACATATTATAAGAGCGAGGAATCTAAGACAAGCAGATATATGTGAGTATCAGTAAAACCTATTGCTGTCTACCAACTCCTTAGACACTGATGGGTGGGATTCATTTAGCATTATTTCCTTTGGCTTTAATAAAAATGTAGTACTTGTTATCATTGTTTAATGGAAACCATGATAGCCCTTTCTATCACAGGTTCTGTAGATCATGAAAAGACAACTCTAGCTGTTGTTGGACTGCAACTTCCATCAGCCCTGAAAAGGCAACTCTAGCTGTTGTTGGAAGTTGTTGGCAACTTCCATCAGCCCCTGCCATTTGCTATCATAGCTAGTTCTTATGGGAGTTGCAGTCCAGCAATATTTGAAGGCCCACAAGTTGCCCATCCTTGCTGTTGATGCCGAGTCCATTACCATTGTTTTTGCTGAACCATTTAAAGAACCTGTCTTCCTTGTCTCTGCTATCTCTGGGAAGGGAAATTGTGGAAGCCTCATTCATATCATGCGTTTGAAACATGGTTTGCTCCTGTTTGCAGTAGAGCTGGTTTAAGACATGCTGAGGCCGTATATTATGCCTGACTTTAAATCTATTGTTCTTTTATAATAATAAAAATTAAAATTTTGAGCTTGTGGCTTACTTAACTCACATGTAAATCCAGTACTGGCTGACAAAAAAAATTGTGTGCATGTGCAAGTCTGTAAATTGGGATGCTGAGCAAAGCAGCTCTTTTTAGTTATTTCATATGTGAATCTCACTGAAATATAAAACATGTGAACCTGTACGTACCACACATTGGCCAAAATCCTGTTCCTTAGTATAGTAAATTGCAAAATCCTGTTGCTTAGCCTAGACTAGGCCCATTGGAGAAATTGTTAACAATAATTGTTACAGTAGGCATCCTTCAGTCTCGAAAGACTATGGTAACGTGCTCTAAATAGAGGTGTTGGAACAGAGTCTAATGTGGCTGCGAAGGCCAATTCAAGAGTGACAATCCCTTCCACACTGAAAACAAATACAATCAGTCCCCTGTCCAGTTCCCTGATTTTGCTGGTTTCGGGACTGCCTCTTTGCCTCGGCCTGCTGAACAAGTGCCTCTACAAACTGGGAGAGGCCATGATGCACCGCCTGCCTCCAGGCTGAACACTCAGATGTCAAGGTTTCCCATCTGTTGAGGTCCATTCCTAACGCCTTCAGATCCCGCTTGAAGTTACCATATCTGCAAGCTTGCAGATATGCTTGCATCGCAGCCATTTATAGGGATGAGTTTTCTAGGCCTTGTTTGATTCCAGGTTTAGCCAGGACAAAAGTCAACTACAGTGAATTAAACATTATGTACTGAAAGGCATGGCAATTTCGTAAGATGCTAATAAAATCACACCTTAATGCCTTTATAAAAGGCACCGCCTGCCTTCAGGCTGAACACTCAGATGTCAAGGTTTCCCATCTGTTAAGGTCTATTCCTAAGGCCTTCAGATCCCACTTGCAGATATCCTTGTTTGTAACTAATTAAACGGATGTACTACAAGTGTACATTTATCCCAAGGTTGGTGGGATGGAAGGAGAAACTGGATATTATATAAATGAGGCAACATTTCAAAGGATAAACCCATAAACAGGGTTATGTGTACCTGACAGATCTTGCTCAGTTTCATCATCCCAAAGGTTGATTAGATAAATGTTAGACATTCTTTCCCCATATACTCACTGTGCTGTTATGAAAAAAGGGGATCTAATGAATAAAACTCATCTGTTTGAAATCAAAATTCCTAATTACCATGACTTTGAGAATTAGATATTCAATATGACAAAATAGCAAAGTTATTTTTGTGGAAAACCACCTTTACTTTAAATGATTTGAGCTAATTTATCTTATTTTATTTTATGGATAGTATATGTTAAAGTGTTGTGTAGAAATGACAAGCACATCCCTGGTTTTAAAGAATAATATATTGTTTTAAAAACACACAGTAAGCCAAAGTGATTGTTACGTACGTTTGAAGTTACCAACAGCTTCTTCTGGTGAATTCCGGACTAAAACCATCTCAAATACAAGAAATCCAGTCTGGAACGCAACGTTCTTCTTTAGGATCCAGCTTATGGCTAAGGTCAGGTGTTATTTGTTTCTTTCCTGTTTGTGTGTCTTCCTGCAAAGCCTGGGAAACTTGTTTTCTGGACTACATATCCCAGAACCACCAAGTTAAATGCCCAGTGGCCATGCTGCTTCAATGATTCTGGGGGTTTGAGTCCAAAAAACCAAGTTTTCCAAGCTGTGCTAATATATACTTACATTTGATTTGTGAATGGACAAAGCTCTTACCCTTTTGACTCCAAGAGGTCACCTCTCTGGCCCAGTAAATTTTATGTGGGGCTTCAGGACAGACAGTGTGCATGATATGACTTCGTGTGTGGGGCCAGTCCATCATGTGAGGAAAGGTTCTACCAGACTGGGAAAGAACCCTTGTGTCAACCCTACTCAACCTTTACATGCATTTCCCGGAGATTGCAATACATGCAGGCATCTCTTGGCTATAAATGCGTAAGGAACATGCGGCATTGAAAAAAGATCCACTGGGGATCTTTCGGTTTCTATGCATCCTGTTTCTAATCCTTGGTTACAACAATTTCCTGGGGTGGCTCCAAATTCTAATTATACACTGCATAATCATTTGTCTCCTGTACTGTCACTGCTTTGAAGTTCCCTATTAATCTAGATTATCCCAAAGAGATCAAGTACAAGCTTTTGTTATGAAGATTTACCTGTTATTTTCTCTTGGGTGGAATGGTGGTGTGGGCCAGAAGAATCTCTTACCTATAAAGGTTTCTCAGGGATCTTGTTTGACCTACATTTTAAAACAAATGGGCCTGATCTTTGTTCTCTTGACCAAGATATTTATTGGAACATGGTTGCCTTCCTGTTTAGCTCCTTCTACAAATTTTGTGATGTTCACAGCCTCAAAAGCTATCAAGATACACACAAAAACATATATTTTAGGATGGAATTAACAAAAAAATGTCTATTTCGATAAGGCATTCTGTTAAATTAATATTTAAGTTTACAAACTGGAATTTTGGTGGATTTTGATTTTTTTTACAAAGAAAACTACAGATTAATAGGACAGGACTTATGAAGGCATATGAATAGGACAGATGTAAACGTTTCTGAGTGCTTTGTCTCTGTCAGAAATCAATACTGACTTTTAAATCTAACATCTGAAACTATGCAGTAAATACTTGTCTGAATTCTCCCATATATGTGCAAATGCTGCCTCCCTTCAAAGTGGGGTCTGCCTCTTCAATTCATATATTTATTTTCAATGCAGAACATACTGGAACTGAAGGTCTGTGATGAAGAAAAGTTTTTTAAGGATGACAAGCTTTGTACGGTCCTATTTGATATAGCTCAACTTCAGCCCGGAGAAACGGTTTGCAAGCATTTTGAACTCAATGAAGAGGTGAGAAACAAAATGATGCCTACAGTCTGGGAAAGTAAAATATAGCTTAATATGAAACACCCTGAAAACATCCTTTAATGTATATTTAACTTGTTTAGCATACAGCATTCAATGTTTTCATCACGTTCTGAGGTGCATGCCTACAACAAACTGCTTTTGCCTCATTAGCAAACCTACTGCACCTCTGATTGTAAGCATGTTGTGCTTTGATGATGGTTGGACACTGTCATCAAAGCTACCAACATGAATTTGACCCAACTCTGGGAGCCAGTGGAAGACAGGAAGGTCTGGTGTCCTTTGGTCCATGGGATCACGAAGAGTTGGACACAACGTAATGACTAAACAACAACATTCACTGCCAGTGTCCTTATTAGAAGGAAACCTGAAAGTGTAGTTAGTCTAAATAAGTCTTGGAATTGAATCATGTGGAATATTTGAAGATTTGATGTGACCAAATTTTATCTGAAGTTTTGAACTGCAAAGCTTGCTTGCTTGCTTGCTTGCTTGCGATTTTATCTGAAGTTTTGATCTGCAAAGCTTCCTTCCTTCCTTCCTTCCTTCCTTCCCAGCATGTTTCCTGACATCTTATAAGAATTTTTTTCTCATAGCAGCTTACATGCCTGAGTGTTTTTTTTTAAATTGATGGTTGTGCCGTACTGCTTTGAATGTATTTTTGGTCTTGCTTTTGTTTAATGTCTTTTAGTGTGATTTTTCCCATCCTTTTTAGTATACCAGTATACTTACTGGTTTTAGCTTTGAATATTGTCTTTTAATGATTTAAGTTGCCTTGGGTCCTTCTTAAGGAGAAAATCAGGGTAAAAATATTTTAAATGAATGAATAAAAAAAATTTAAGTCAAAAGCTAAAAGATGGCATAGATCACACTTAGCAGAGGAACAAGTAAAGACACCCTCAATGTTGTGTGTGATGTTGTTGGGGCCTGTAATTGCATTGCCAGAGTAGGTGCGGGGAAGGAGCTGCCATCTAGGTTTGTAACAGGGTTTAGTTTCCATGTCTGTAATTAATGTATCAGAAACCTAAGATGTAGCTGTAACTTCAGGTAACATATAGCTTGACTCTTAATTCACTTGTTATGTAATTCAGAATGAAGCTGTCCATCAAAATTCAGCCACAACCAGCATTTCAAAAGGGCTAAATGATAAGCTGAAGAGATTCATGTGGTGATTTGATCTACTGGACCTAAATTCTGAACCCCTGCCTAAAAAATGTAATCAAAGCAGTCATGTATCTCTATTTTCTTGAGAAAACACTGTCCTTGGCCTGACCTTTCCTATGTGATTTATACATCCACGGCTTACTTATTTTTTAAAAACTTTTATCCTGCTCTTCAAAGGCTAATTGTAACTCCTACAGCAGCTTCTGTACAGAAGATGGCTTTCTCAGTGATGCTCCATGTGTTGTCAGAGCCCCTCTGAAAGAAGTACTTCTTTACCAAGACAAAGGCTTTGGTTGTAGCAAGACAGAGGTCCTCAATATCTTAACTCAACAAACCAATCATACGAAAGTTTGGTTGTGGCAGTTCTTGGTTGCTCCACTTAGGACTATTTTCTATATAAGCATCACTACTGTGTCATAAACATGCAATACTACTAGATCCAGTAGGGAACTATGCTTCCATTTTGTTGTAGCTGCTTTCCAATATAAAACATGCTCTGCTATGCTCATCAAGATTGTATGCTATGTTTCATTTAATACTATGGTAGTTACTGTACTTTAAATTTATGTATAGAATTGTTTATGTTTTAATGATGCACAGACAATATATGTTTCCTTATGCTATGTACTGCCTTGAACTCTTTGTGAGGAAGAATGGTATATGACACACAATTTTCTGATGTGTTTCATATATTTCAGACATGAAATACTTGCTAATGAAGTAGCTTCCAGAAAGTGCCACAGCAGAACTACCATTTGTGACATTACTGTGTAACTTTACATCAATTTCATTTTCCTATTTTTTTTTCGGTTTCAGAAGGATGAGGTGCTGGAAGTGGAGTTTACTTTGGAACAAATGTGAGTTAAACTTGAGCTGATGAAATGCCTGTGGTAGATAATGCATATGTTATGAACTGATGCAAATGGCCTGAACATCGTTAAGAGGCATATACCAAATGTCCTTCGAATTAATAATTTGTTAAAAATGATTCTGCTATTTTAGTCAAAAGTGCAAAATATTTCTCTCACTCAGATAACCTTGAACATCATAATGAAAACCAGTTTTAGTTTACAAACCAAGAATATCATCTTTCCTTTTCCAATGCAAGAGTAGTTTTTAGTTACTTAACAGTTACAGGGATATGTTCTTCCTCATGGTGAAGGAGGAATACCTCATGGTTCAAATGCTGTCTTCTGTGTGCCTTGGGTTGCTAAGAAGTAACTTAAGTTTCTGTGACACTGGAAATTAAATAGTTAAAGAAAAGTATACTTTTAAAAAATTCAGCTGAAGTCCCCTTGTTTTTTTCCAGATAGAGGACATATGCTGAATCAAGTCCTTAATGATAAGTCAACATTTATGTAAATTCAATTGATTCTGGAAGTTCTGTCATACTTGGGACTAACAAATGGATGCAGATCACAATTTATAATGGTAATTAACTGTTTGTCTGAGTCACAGAACTACAGCTGCAACTAGAGAGAGGTCTGAAGCATTTCATGCCAGGTCACTGTAACTCATTGGTGCAGCACCTACCCCCACCTCCCTGTCGGCTCCCATACTCACCAGCCAGCATGCGCTGTTTGTTCCTTCCCCGTTGTGTGATCTTCCAGTCCTGGCAGGAGCATGAACTTCCCTTCTCTGCCTCCCCCAGAAGCTGCCCACCCAGATGAGGAGGTGGGGCAGGGATTCCTGCATGGTTCTCTGTCAGTGGGCAGCTGCTGGAGGAGGTGGAGAAGGGATGTCCATGCTCCTGCTGGGACTGGAAAATCTCAGGGAATAAGCAGTCCATGTTGGCTGGTGAGTGGGGGAGCCAGTGGGGGAGGAGAGGGAATGTGTGGCGCCTGTGGTGCTGTGCCAACAACTTAAGATAACTTGGCACAAAGTGGTTTGTGCCCATTTCTAGTTGCAACTAATTCCTTTTAAAATTTCCTCACAGTGATCAGATCTAACTAAAAAAATGAGTGCCTAAATCCAACCTTTTCTAGGAAAAAGTAATATATCTATCTTAAATGGCTCAGAGGACTTAGAAGAATATGAAAGAAAGTATTGGGGGATACCAATTGAAATGAGGTATATAATAAAGTATCTTCCTCCCCTTCTTCCCATTCCTTGCCTCACAGGCCAGATATTCCTGAAAATCTTGTTACAAATGGAGTACTCCTGGTATGTCCTTTGGTTCTGTATTTGTATCCATGGTTTCTGTATCATATCTCATGGCTTGGGAGGATTTTTTTTACGCTTAAAGACAAATAAATGAATGATAAATATTTTTTAGTTTAGAGCCTGATGACTTCTGAAGGCATACACTGCAGCAGGTAACTCTTATTAAAAGGGGGGGGGTCTGTTCTAGCAAAAATGTTCCCTGTTGCATATTCTCACTTGGTACTTGTATGATCGTGGAGGTGCATGTGATGTGTAAATACCTCTTGCTTGCTGGCAACAGGAGGGCAACAGGAAAGGGTTGGGTATCCATAAGTTGAGAGAAGCCACCAAGAAAGCCATTTCTTCTTTTTTTTGGCTAGTAGAGAGACATTATCTGGGTCAGACATTCTTCTGCAAATGGAAGAACACAACTGAGTGCATCACCAAAGCTATGAATGGGGCATGTGTGCATGTATGTGAATGTTTCTTATTGTATCCAATGCTTATGCATATAAATGTATGCTGTGTACACTGAGACTTTATGGAGCACAGAGTCTGTCGCTTTAGGTATTGCAGCTAGTGAAGTCTGCTTTAACTTTGATGAGTCTTTTTCTCTAGTGTTTCTGTGCTCAGATGAAAATAAACAGATAAACAACACTTCGCTTGAAATGCAAAAGAGACAATTGTAAAGTAAGTGTATATTGTATGCAATAAGCAGAAAGAACAGTTAACCTTTAAACAAGTTAAGGAGAGACAAACTGGTTACTGTTTTAGTCTGTGAACCCCTAAAGGTACATGTTTGGATTTTTTTCTTCTTACAGTCTCGGCAACTTTGCTGTCTAAAAGCAGAGGTAGATGGAAGAAAAAAGAAAAAGAAAAGAGGAAGTAAGATTGTTGTTTGTGTATTTCTGGAGTTTCTTTATTGTATCTAGCACACACATTTATGAAATACCACAAGATATCCAGATTTTACAGGAATAGAGAATGTTGTTTAGTTGTTTAGTCATGCCCAACTCTTCATGACCTCATGGACCAGATCATGCCAGGCCTTCCTATTTTCCACTGCCTCCCAAAGTTTGATCAAATTCATGTTGGTAGCTTTGATGACACTGTCCAACCATCTCATCCTCTGTTGTCCTCCTCTCCTCCTGCCCTCACACTTTCCTAATATCAGCACCTTTTCCAGGGAGTCTTCTCTTCTCATGAGATGGCCAAAGTATTGGAGCCTCAGCTTCAGGATCTGTCCTTCCAGTGAGCACTCAGGGTTGCTTTCCTTTAGAATGGATAGGTTTGTTCTCCTTGCAGTCCAGGGGACTCCCAAGAGCCTCCTCCAACAGCACCGTTCAAAAGCATTAATTCTTTGGCGGTCAGCTTTCTTTATGGTCCAGCTCTCACTTCCATACATCACTGCAGGAAAAACCATGGCTTTGACTATGTGGACTTTTGTTGGCAAGGTGATATCTCTGCATTTTGAGATGCTGTTTATTATTTATTTATTTATTTATTTATTTATTTGATTTATATCCCGCCCATCTGGTATAATTATACCACTCTGAGCGGCTGACAACAGAACAAATACAATTAAACCAAAATGAATCCATGAACATCCATTATTAACAAACATACTAAAAATAATAAATGATAGATAAGAAAAAGAAAAAGTTAAATTAAATAAATTAAATTAACTTAAATGACAAACCTGTCAAGGTTTGTCATTGCTTTCCTGCCAAGAAGCAGGCGTCTTTTAATTTTGTGGCTGCTGTCACCATCTGCAGTGATCATGGAGCCCAGGAAAGTAAAATCTATCACTGCCTCCATATCTTCCCCTTCTATTTCCCAGGAGGTGATGGGACCGGTGGCCATGATCTTGGTTTTTTTGATGTTGAGCTTCAGACCATTGGTCTCTAGTTCCTCTGCCCCTTCGAAATCCAGCTTGTACTTCTGGGAGTTCTTGGTCCACATACTGCTGAAGCCTACCTTGTAGGATTTTGAGCATAACTTTGCTAGCTTGTGAAATGAGTGCAATTGTACGGTAGTTGGAGCATTCTTTGGCACAGTCCTTCTTTAGTATTAGGATGCAGACTGATCTTTTCCAGTCCTCTGGCCACTCTTGAGTTTTCCAAACTTACTGGCGTATTGAGTGTACCACCGTAACAGTGTCATCTTTTAAGATTTTAAATAGTTCAACTGGAATGCCAATACTTCCACTGGCCTTGTTGTTAGCCATGCTTTCTAAGGCCCACTAGACTTCACTCTCCATAATAACTGGGCCATTATTCCTTATTCCTGCAAGTATCTGACATCCCTCAATGTGCACACATACCCATTATAAAGGCAGATCTTTGATCACTCTCTCCCTTCTTCTTTATCTAATCTAATGCTGGGCAAAATCCTGTTGCCCAACTACGTGGGGGCAATTCAGTGTTGTACCTGCAGTAGTTATGATAGCATTGAGGTGCAGAACTTCTGCTTCTGCTTTGCGCAATTGGTCATGCTAGGGCGCATGATTGATTGCACAATCAAATTGTGCAGTTCCTTGCTGCTGGGCGTAAAGCCTAGCAGATTTATACAGGCATGTACAAGCAGGACTTGTCCAGTATGTTATACATAAGCAATCATTAAAACTGAAACCATGTTAGGGTTATAGTGACATGATTCGGGCATCTGAAAAATCAGACTTACAAAAAAAAAACATGGCTGCATTCCGAAGACTAAGCACAAGGCAAGCTTAGCTAATTTACAAGAGAAGGGAGGTGAAGAAAATTCCTGCTCTGGCTATCACACATATTCTGCAGCTAAGAAATCCCCTAATTAGTGACACCTGTAGTGTACAGTTCAGTTGTAATTCTCTCCTATAGCATCAAGTTCTGCAGACCCATCCTCTTGCTTTCTAATATTGAGCAGATCTCTGGTGCACTCTGTTTTTCTTTTCATCAGAGTGTAATCTCCCACCCACTTTATAAAAGAGAAAGGGTGTCATTTAAAGGACAGAATGGACTTGAACGGCAAGATATGGCTTCCAGTGTTCCCCTGAGCTCTGAAGTTCTGCAGGTGACTCTGGTCAAGTCACTGAAACTTGATTCAGCTTACCTCAGTAGTGAAGGTGGAATAAATGTAATGCAGCCTTCCCTGATGTGGGACAACGGAAACCTCCACCATCCCTGGCAGTGTATCCCACTGCTATGCTGGCTGTGATGCCAGACGTTTCAGTCCAACACATCTGGAGGGCACTATGTTGGGGAAAGCTGACCTGATGTGTACAACTATAAGGAGGAGAGAGGATATACTGTAGACTGCATACTGATTAATAATTGATGGTCTGCTTTGCCCTCAGAACAAAACTTCACATTTACAGTGAAAGGATCCTATGAAGATACACAGAACATTGTCCTGGATTCTCGCACCAAAAATGCTGCCTCAGTTCCCATAGAGTTCCACTATGCTAAGTATTGTTTCCCCCAAATGGAGGTGAAATTAGCAAAGAAATGGTCCTTCTGTGTGAGTAACTGTCATCTATATTTAGGTCCACAGAAGTAGCATCCATAACCTGCATGCAAAAAATTAGAAATACTTTGTTGATCAGAATAACTAGAACACAGCAAACAAACTGCACGCAGTTTGCCTATTTTCAGTTGGCACTTTGAAAGTGTGATTAGAGATTCAAAAGAATTTATATTTTTGCCCCAGGTCACACCATTGCTTCATCTAGCCCTGTAGTGTTGGCATTGACTGATTGCACAATCAGAATAACTTAATTGCTTTTAATGGTACATCTTTCTCTCTCTCTCTCCCCCTCTCCCCCTC